CGGGAGGGCAACAACCAGATAACACGGCGGGAGGGCCGTGTGCCCGCAGCCGCGACGGAAGGGGCGCGGGAGGGCAACAACCAAATAACACGGCGGGAGGGCCGTGTGCCCGCAGCCGCGACGGGAGGGGCGCGGGAGGGCAACAACCAAAGAACACGGCGGGAGGGCCGTGTGCCCGCAGCCGCGACGGGAGGGGCGCGGGAGGGCAACAACCAAATAACACGGCGGGAGGGCCGTGTGCTCGCAGCCGCGACGGGAGGGGCGTGGGAGGGCAACAACCAAAAAATAAAAAATATATCTAAGGCCCCATGGCGCGTCGGACGGGGCGTGAGGGGGGGAGAAAACCGAAGCAGCCCCGTGGCGCGCCGGAAAGGGCGTGAGGGGGAACCCCGCGGCACGTCGGAAGGGGCGTGGAGGGGAGGGTACTTGCATCGTGGTGCTAAAACGGGAACTCCTTTTTCTGGCGAGGCTACAGGCCGGGACGAGCGCTGGGAGGGGAGCAACACGCATCACAGTGCTGGATTGGCACTTCTTTCTTGACGGTACTTGGTGTTTGATGGTATTCGTAGCGAAGTTGGTAATCCTTGTTAGTTGTCATGAGTGCACTTTGGTTGAGAGCCAGGGAGGGTGTTCCGTGTTTCTCGGAGGCGTTCGCGTCCACATGTTCAGTATTTTCCTGGTAGTCATTTGGTTGAAAATTCTTGATTGCGGCCACGTCGGGCCGTTCTCCAGGTCGCGAAATGTGCAGGAATATGGGATACTGTTGGAACCGCTGAAGGAACGTATGAGGAAAAATTGGGACACCAGTGTTGTACGTCGACGAGAACAGAGGATTGTCGAAAAATGCATGCCGGTTGTGTGTCGCTCAGAAAATGTTGGATGATTGCCTTTTGCCCCGGTGCGCTGTGTTACGTCAGCGAGGGGGGGCGTTTTCAATGTTTGTCTGATGTTTGTTTGAAGAACAGATAGTAGTGCACCCGCATGGTAGTTGTTTGAACCAACTCCTCAGGATAGTCTTACGCTATTGCTTACCAAGAATTGGGATAGGCCGTTGTTGGTAACAGGGTTATGATCTTGGTACTTCATGCAGGAAGAATATGATAGCACGCCGCCCACGTTTGTAGATAAAGATTCCGAGCGTGGATTCTGGCGCGACTGGTATTATGCATGTATTGATCTTGCTCTGGTAGCGCAACGAGTGACAGTATCTGGTGGAACGGTGAATATTGGTGGGGGTTTTGACCCGGAGGCCGGGTTTCCCCCTGTTATTTTTTCGCGTTGGTTTTTTTGTCCGTTTGGGTTTTCGTCACATCCGGCGTGTGCATGCCCACTAGTGGTTAGTTACTAGCGTAAAGAACCAGGGAGGGTGTTCGTGTGTGCATGAGCGGATGAGAATATTCCAACGGGACTGTAGGAGTTGGCTACGCAGATAGGAATTGATAGTCCCCTGGGTTGGTTTCATGATTGATCCACGGGGCTCGACCCTGCGGGAGTGCTTGCTGTGTCGTGGCACTCTCTCTCTCCCGCCGCGTCCTGATCGTGTCTGCTGTCCTAAATACAAGTGATACCATCATCTTCAACACACTTACAAGGGTATACTAACAGGCGATACGTCAAGTCTGCTAGCCTCGAACGGCCTCGACAGTAGTGCTACATGTAGAGTGAAGACATGCGTAGTCGATATGCCCCCGATATTGACGACGGCTGTGAGTCAGGGCCAGCTACTGCCAGTTCCAGCTTGTCTATTGGCGCCCGTCGTGCCAACGTTACTGTAAGACAGTTTATCCACCAGAGTATGGCAACGAGCTGAGATGTAGAAGGCATAAGGCCATCCAAGAGCAGAAAGAGAGCGTTTGGGTTTGGACGCGCGACGAAGTCACGGGACCGCAGTCAGGTGCCAAGAGGAAGCGGTTGTACAGCTGGTACTTATGGTGGAGTTGTGATCGTGTTGAGCAACGCTGCTACCAGGTTCCCCATAGTGTTTGCTCTGCAGTTTGTCTAGGTGGGCGAGCAGTGAGAGTACTGGAAAACACGTCGGGAGTACGCGCGCTGTACTCCTTGTGGAATGGAGTAGACGACGTCATGTACGTACGTCGGTGTGTTGTCTTTCGTTGTTTCGATTGCAACCTGTCTTGACGAAGAACAAAATCGGCCCAACGATCAAATATTGTTTGTTTCCTCGACCTGCGCACCTGATAGGATCGATTCTTCGCGATTCAACATGTCTGCATCCGAGGTCGTTAGTCTAAGCTTTCCCTCTTTCCAAGTCGGCTGGATGTACTTCACGCACCACTCCGATCTCTAAGCCGCGTCGTATCTCTTTTGTACACGATTTTCACCCCCGCCGGCAGACGTCGGGGCCAAGATCGACCACGCAGGGCGGAGGAACAATACGCACCCTCGGCCAACGTCCGAGCGCGGCCACGGGGGGCGCATCGTCGTCCTCCTCTCGAACGGTGCGCGATGTACACACAAAGTACGGCTGCTGACACCGAACTCCCTGGGAACCCCGACCTTGACGGTGCTCATTGGGCACCTCGATTGGAAACAAACTAGATGTATGCATACGTCCACTCTCATCTTCGGAAGTCGTTCCTGATTCCGGGGTCGTTAAGCTTTTACACTTTCCAAATCGGCTTAATGTATCCCACCACTCCAACCGGTCTCAAAGCGTAATTTTTTCTTGGCACGCGAATTTTACCCCGCCCGCAGACGTCGGGGCCGAGATCGACCACGCGGGGCGGGGGAGCATGCAGCACCCCCAGCCAACGTGCGAGGGCGGCCCCGAGGGGCGCATCATCGTCCTCCTCTCGAACGGTATGCGATCTCCACACTAGAATAGGCCTCTACTACGTCTGCTGACGCCGAACTCCCTGGGAACCCCTACGTTGGCGGCGCCCATTGGGCACCTCGGTTGGAAACCAAGTACACTGTCTTGTTCAAAAGTCGTTCCTGCGTGCGAGGTTGTTTAGCTTTCACTCCTTCCAAACCGGCTCAATGTACACCAACCACCACTCAAACCGATCTCAAAGCAGCGTCATGTCTCTTTGGTACGCGATGTTCATTCCGCCGACAGACGTCGGGGCCGAGATCGAGTAAGCAGGGCGGGAGAACAAGACGCACCGTCGGCCAACGCGGGAGGGCGGCAACGGGGGGCGCATCCTCGTCTACCCCTCGAACGGTATATAGTCCACACATTTGAACAGGCTTCTACGGTACTGAGGCCGCTGACTTCGGAGTCGTGAGGAACCCAAACGTCGGCGGTGCCCACTGGGAACTTCGATTTGAAACAAACCTTGTCCCCTCTCTCATATTGAAAAGTCGTCCCTGATACGAAGCTCGTCAAGCTTTCGCTCTGTCCAAACCGGCTCCATGTACTCCACCAGTACGATCGATCCCAACGGGTGACATCTCTTTTTTATATTATTTTTCACTCCGCCGGCAGACGTCGGGGCCGCGATTGACCACGCAGGGTGGGGGAGCGAGACGCACCCTCGGCCAACGCCCGAGTGCGGCCACGGGGGGCGCATCTTCGTCCTCCTCTCGAACGGTACCCGATCTACACGCTAAAGTTGGCTTCTACTGCTACTGCGGCCGCTGACACCCAACTCGTTAGAAACCCCAACCTTTGCGGCACCCATTGGGTAACTTCGGTTGGAAACAAACATTTCCGCTCTCTGTCATATTGACTAGTCGTTTCTTGTTCCGAGATCGACAGGCTTTCGCTCTTTCCAAACCGGCTCCATGTACTTCACCGCTCAGACCGATAGGACAATGTATTTTTTCCTTTTTACTCCTTTTTCACTCCACTGGCAGACGTCGGGGCCGAGATCGGCCACGCAGAGCGGAGGTGCAAGACGCACCCTAGGCCAACGTGGGAGGGCGGCCACGGTGGGCACATCATTGTCCTCCTCTCGAACGGTACGCGGTCTACATACAAGATTAGGCCTCTGCTGTACAGCCGCTGACGCCGAACTTTCTGGGAACCCCAACCATGGCGATGCCCATTGGGCACCTCGGTTGGAAACAAACAAATACACTCTCATTTTCAAAAGTCGTTGCTGATTACGAGGTCGTTTAGCTTTCACCCCTTCCAAACCGGCTTAAATGTACTCCACCCACAACTTCAACCGATCTTCAAGCATCATCATATCTCTTTGGTACGCGATTTTCACTCCGCCGGCAGACGTCGGGGCCGAGATCTACCAGGCAGGGCGGGGAGAAACCAGTACCCCCAGCGAACGTGCGAGGGCGGCCACGAGGGGCGCATCATCGTTGTCCTCTCTAACGGTACGTAATCTACACACCAGCCTTTGCGGCCACTGACACCGAACTCGTTAGGAACCCCTCCTTGGCGGTACCCACTGAGCAATCTCGGTTGGAAACATATTGCGTCACCTCACATATTCAGTAGTCGCCCGTGAATCCGAAATGCTCAATGTTTCACCGTTCTTTTCCAAACCGGCCAATGTACCCCACCACTCCAACCGATCTCGCTAAGCGATATACCAGGTATGTCTTGTGCTGTCCTTCATTCTTCGAGCCTTCCGCGCGCCGCAACAACTCTTCCATTTTCCAAGAACCCAGTTTTTTCTCTTCCGTTAACGGTTGCAGCCGAGGCCGAATGAACTCAATAGTCGTTGTTGTTTCATGGCGCACACTCGTGATTTGGTAGACCCAACCTTGCTTGCAGACTAGTTGTAATGGTCTTCCGCACGTAGTGGAAACACATCAGAAGTGTTGACGTGTCATCATGCGATTTCTACAGTACCTCGAGTGACAAAATACGGTGGAAACTACTGGACAAACATTGGTTCAACCCGCCTGTTAACTTTGTGCCACCCAGGCTCGTCATGAAGGAGAACATGTTGGTTCGACATCCGCCCTCGATACGACAAAAGAGCTTGCCTCCCAGTGGACAACGGCGTATTGGTAAGCTTGGTGGGTTCTTTACAGTAGCTCGTGGACCATTTTTGTGTGGTAACGGTTGGTGTAATGAGCGGTACTCTAATCGCAACAACGCCGAGACTACTTGATCGCTTCACACGCCACAGGGGTTCATAGAGACTCGTCGATACTGAAGTGATTTAGTGAAAAAGGACGTCAGATGAACGTTTGTGGAAATGGTTTGTGGATCTCCTTAGTCGCAGCTGCTCCTCGTCTGTACAATATTTATTTCCACTCAGAACTGCCCTTCTGTCGCGTGATTTTGTCTATGCCTACCAGGAGACTCGCGGATCTCCACGAGGAAAGGTCCGGTGCCGCAAAGAACATGGTCGCCGAGGCAAGTGGCGCAGACAACGGCAGTCGTCGGCGGCAGTTGCAGGCGGCCATGCACGCCATCGGTGACCGGTTAACAGTCAGGTGGGATTTCACGTACTGTGGTAATACTGTTATGAAGGTCTGGTCCAAATATCACCCAAAATCTCTATTCATTAATACTCATCATTCGTATCTCGTGGAGAAAAATATTTATGCAAAGCAATGTCATGGAGGGAAGTCTTGGCAAAGACGGGATACCTCTGCAATACCGGGCTGCAGCCATTCGGAATGCAAGCATTGTGCCTGAGAAACGTGCGCGAGGATTTCAGTCGCCGCGGTCAAGCTTACTAAACTACGTTGGAATGTATGCGGTTGCTGGTTCTAGCGGCAGAACCGTAC